CTCCGTGTCAGGAGCTATTGTAGCTTTGTAGGATTGTTCAGGGCACGTGTGAATCCCCCAAATCTGCTGTGAGAGCATGTGCCAAGAGCCATGGAACTCTGTAAATGTCCTTTGGTTCAATACTGTCCCTTTTGCAAAAGTACTCTCAGGGAAAGCCTCTTTTAATGAAGCCTGAGAACTGATTCTCACAGCTCTGAACATCGTGCAGCATTTTCAAAAATGAATCCTTGTATTAACTAAACATCAGCCAGACTAGCAGTTCATCTCACTTTGCAAATCCCCAGCAAAGTCTGCTTTGCCCTTTACAATCAGCAGGAAATTTTGGCCAGGAAATCCCAGTGACTCTCAGGGTACCAGCCCCTTTCTCTCCTTCCTATGTACTCCCTTCAGCTGATTTAGACTTGATGCTTCTTGTCGTTGTTTTAGCGGGCAGGATTATTTCAGAAGAGTGGTACAAGGTCATCCTGCAGTTTGCCCTCCTTTTATCTCTGTGTCTTAGTTTCTCCTCCTCAATGCTTCACTCTTGCATTCATAGATACAAACATGCATGCATGTATGCGTGTCCTTCCCTTTTTCCTACAACACTGCAGCATCACCTTCCACTGGGGACATCCCACCTACATTTAGATCCCACAAAGTGAATAGCCTTGACCTTGCTGTGCTCTTCATCTTTAGAGACTTATTTTCTCACGGGGGTTTGTTAAATTTTGCCAGCCACCTCAGAAGACCCAGAAATGAAAACCTGTGACTAAGCAGATAAAAAACTGCATGTAAACCAACACACAAGTGACCCTGCAGGTCCCACAGGGCCAGATGCTCATAACCCAGCCAGTACCATGACTCAACAGCACCCTTCCCCTGAGGACTTCCATGCTTCAGTGTGAATGCACAGCACTCCAGCTACCACATATTCTCATTATACTCCAGGTGACTGAGCTTCAGATAGGCTCCCTTGGGCAATTTTCCCTGTTGTTGTTATTATTGAAGCTTCTTAGATGTCCTATTTAGGATCTCATATTCACAAAAAGTAGAAGAAATGGTGTCCAGAGATGTCAATGCCTCTGTTGGCTCCTAAATAAACCCTAATTTCTTTAACAGCTAATCTCAGCAACTAGGAAACCTAAAAATGATTGGCATACTCATTCTGAAATGTCTGCTCCTCTTGCACAAATGAGATTCCATTCCAGTCAGCTACTGCATATTTATGCTCAGCCTTTCATTAACTTATCAGCCATGTGGTGATACACTATCATTTGCTACCTTTGGGGGGAAAAAAAATGGGGAAAAAAATGTGCTCTACTGGTGGGGCTATTTCATGCTTCCTGAATATTCAATCCAATCCTCCTGGTCTCTCTCTGTCCTCTTTTCTCCCCAAAAGCTTCATGGATCTCCAAAGACATCCCACAAGAGAGGGTGACAACCATTCCCCAGTAAACCCCTGAGGATGCCATTATGTGGCATGCAATTATAGCTAAATCAGGGTCAAGCATCTCCCTTTATGGGTAAAATATGGTATTACACTCTAAATTCCTGCACTGCAAAAACAAACAGTGCCATCAATTCATTTCCAGTCAGACCTCCACCCTCTTGGGAAAAGTATGCAGAACTTTCTGGTGGGAAAAATATTTCGGAAATACAACCTCTTTATTGGAGTGAAAGCTCTTCCTTCATTCAGTTTGTCTTTCATGAGCCACCCTGGTACACTGCAGTGAGGAATGTGGCTTCAAGAGGTACTTTGAGGTCACAAGAGACAAATCCTGAAGGGCTGTAGCTCCCTCTCATTACACACCATAGCTCTGACCAGGTTACGAGGTCTGACCCAAAGCTAAGTCCCCGTTGTGGGTAAATGTCTCTCAGGAGGGTGGGGGGCTTTTCAGGGCAGGATTCCACACACCTTGCACCCCGATGAAGCATCTCTGTTCTCTGTTTCCTTGAGCTCTCTTCCTGTGAATAATATCTTCCTATTTTTCACCCTTCTGTTTGAAATACAGAGGGAGCAGGTGAGGAGGAAAGGAAGGTTTTAAAATCCATGTGTTTCCTTAATTCAACACCGGCATTTTGGATGTGGGGTTGAGTAAAACTGCATTCGTATCCGTGGCTCCTCTCTGTCACTCATCTAAGAGACACAGGAGGAAGAGAAGAGCTCATGGAGTTCACCTTACAGCCACACAATATCAGACTGGGATAATGCTCTTTCTGGGATCCCAGAGCAGACCAGCCCATGACTTTCAAGCAAGGATCTTGCTGCTGAGACTCAGAAGAGCATCCCAGGAGAAGGAACTTGCTGTGTAAATTTGGAGCAACGCTGCTAAGTCAGCAGAGTGACTCCAGATACACTGTGGTGTCTCAGAGGTCCAAAGCAGCTATTTTTGATGGCTATGAAAATGGGACCTTTTCTTTCCAGGCCTGAATCTGTCCTGAGATGTTCCAGCTCTGTCAGTGCAGTGTCATTGCTCCCAGTGAGGTTATATTACACTGCTGGGAGCAATGTATAACTGACTGGCCTTGGTGGTCATCCCAGGACAGGATTTGATGCCACTTGTCACTTAGGTTCTGTATCAACAGCAAATGCTGTTTTACCAGAGCAATGATTATTGGGCTCTATGTAAAAAGCTGCTCAGAAAAAAAGAAATTGTAAATTTGGTTACACCAAAAACATTCTTTGCAATATGATGCCAATCATAATAAAAATACCAAATACCTGTCACTAGAGAGTTGAAAATCATTAAAAGTCGTCATCTAAACAACACGTTTTGGATCTTTACCCTTGCAGCTGCCCAAAACCAAACTCTTGGGTTGTTTTTTATAAATTGTCTGGATTCCTTCTGAAATCCTTGCTAATTCCCAAGCTCTGCAATTTGAGAGGAAATAGAAGAGAACCATGCTACTGAACACATGTATTCCTTTGGCATGTGGGCAGTGCCCTTGTGTTCTGCAGGACTGTGCCCATGGACAGGGGCAGGAGGATTGGGTCTCTTGTCTTCTACTCTCTTCTTTGATCCTGCACTGTCTGCCAAGGTCGCATCAGGCTGCAAAGGCACTTTGTGTAACTCTGTCTGATCTGTGTCTGTCCTTTATTTATTCAAAATGCGTTTGCCTTCTACAATTTAATCTGCTGTTCTCTCCCTCCCCTTCCTCTTGGTGAAGTCTAATTACAGTTTTATTCCAGGTCCATCTGGTTGCTAATGATGCTGGACATCACTGCTGAATCCATTCTAATATTTGTTGTGTATTTCTAGGCTGGACGCTGAATAATAATATTCTCTGAATTTGCTTTTGCTCCTGTTTGCTTCCTCCCTGTTGTAGCTAATTGTGTAGTAATGTGTAGCCATGAGATGGGTGCTCCTTCCAGTGTAGATCTGCTAAGAGTTGCCGATTTCAGGCTGCAGAATAAAGGTGTTTTATTCTGGTTTTGAGGAGAGGATTTCAAAAGTCCTCTCTACCAGCTCCCTTCAGTGGCATGGAACCATCTGGGCAGTGGCTTTTTCTGCTTCTTTTTTTTTTTTCCCTGCCCAAAGTGTAATATTGTTCATAAATGTGAGTCTCAAACTCTCATGGAGGCAGGTTTCTGCACATAGAAAGACATTTTTTTGCCAGTGCCTGCTCCATGTGATGGTTGAACCTACAGTAATCTGAGGTTCCCAAGCCTTACTTTGTACAGTGCCAGTACTGGGATAATTTTTTTTTCTTTTTTTTTTTTTTTCCTCCTTTTTTCTTTCTGCAACGCTGCCTGGGAACACAGGCTCACACTTTACCCATGACCTGACTCTTGGACTAAGAATAGCAGGCACAGAGCAACTCGGGTTCAGTCTCACAGGAGACAAGCTGCAGCTGGGAAACAGGGAGGTCAGATTAGCCCATGCTCACAAAACCAAACACACGAGAGGAGCACGGAGGATTTTGTATGTTTGCCTCCTTTAAAGACTGCAGAACAAGGGCAGGAGATTGGCACAGGTGCTCAGTGAGCCAAGATGAATTTTCTTTGCTCATGACATTGACTTGTAGAGGAAGTTTACATACAGAGGTTTCTCTTCTGGGCTGAACGGACCCTTCTCCAAAAGGATCCCCTGTCCTTACAGCCTATCCACCAAAAAATTATGCAGGGTGAGGACAGTAAGCAGTGCTGATTAGCATCTCCTGAGCTCTGCTTAGGACAATGAGAGGTTGGGATAGCCCCTGAAGTGATCAGCCATGGCTTGTCCTGGCCAGCCAAGGTGGCACAGCAGGAGTGAGCAACAGCTCTGGCTCTGGGCAGTGCTAAAGCCACCTTTGCTCCCATTCCTACCTCTTCCTGCTGGGATGAGCCAGGCTACATTCACAGCTCCATGTTGTGGTGCAGGTGTGCTTTCAGAGGAACAGAGATGCAGGTCCTGCTCTGTACTATGGAGACAGGACCTCAAGCATCACTGAAAGAAACTGTCAGGCTAATGACTGTCCTAATATTGACTGTGGCTCAGTAAAGGTGAGATTTAGACAGCACATCCCCAGCTTGACTGTGCCCTCCATGGCACAGCAGCCAGCTATTCCCTGTGCCAGCACAGAGCCCTACAGCTGCAACATGGACTTGGGGATTGATATTGACAGTGGGGAGCCATTTTTTGAGGAAACCACATTAAGCTATTCCTGTGCTCTCCCCACTAAGTGAAATGGGAAGGGTGCTGCGTTGCCAGGAATGGAGGTGTCTGGTGGAGCTGGTCCTGCAAGCCCCATTCCTGCCAGCAGCCATGCTCAAAATGATCTGTGTGACCTCCCTTCAGCCCCTGTCTCAGAGTTGGAGGGGAGGGGTGGCTTCTCTGGAATGGCATGAGCTGGAGAGGGGCTGCTCACACCAGCCAGGGAGCCCAGGCCTGGGCTACAGCTTGAGACACAACTAGTAGACTTAAGAGGAAAACAAACCCCTTGAGGTGTCAGGGCAGAAATTCTAATGGTAATTTTGAACTGTTTTTGTCTGTCTAACATTCCTTTTTAATCCCCATCCTGCCTGCCCCTTCCTTATGTAGGGTTACTTTAGTGATCCTTGGAATGTTTTTGACTTCCTCATCGTAATTGGCAGCATTATAGACGTCATTCTCAGTGAAACTAATGTGAGTATTACTCTACCCTCCCCAGGATACCACCACCTCCTCCTCCTCTGCTGTTCCTTCTCTCTTTCTCTCTTTTTTTCTCTCTCTTTTTGTTTTCTGGTTTTTTTTCCCTCTAGTCATGCTTTTATTGAACTTGCCGTCGTCCTTCTCCTTCTCCCAGGGAAAAAAAAAGGAGGGGGGGAAATGCCTCCTTCTTTTTCACTTGTCATAGCTGGCCCCAAGGCTGTGACTGGTGAAAGCGCACAGAGTTTGGGGTGTGTGTGCTTTTTTTCCCTCCAAAAGGTAGACATGCTTGAGTGTAACTTTCTGACTAACCAGGCTTTTGTTGATACCCTCCATCATGTGAAACGTTACAGAGGTTTGAGCAACCAATACTGTAGAGTGGTAAGAGACTATTTAATATGCCCACATAACCTCTTTCTTTTCTTATTTTTTTCCTCTTCTCTCCCTCTTTCATGCTTTTGTTTCGTTTTTATTTTCATTTTATTTTATTTTACTTTTTTTTTTTTACTTTTTTTCCCCTCTTTTCTCCCTTTCCCTCTTTCTCTCCCTTCTCTCTCTCTCTCTCTTCTCTCTCATTCTTTCTTCCTCTTCCTTCTTTCTTTCCTTTCTCTCTCTCTCTCTCTCTCCTTGGCTTCTCTGCCACATGCAGCACTATTTCTGTGATGCATGGAATACATTTGACGCCTTGATTGTTGTGGGTAGCATTGTTGATATAGCAATCACCGAGGTGAACGTAAGTAGCTGGCGTCTGTCCATGATCGTGCCTGCTCTAACATTCATTTGTCTTTCCCGGGTTCTTTTTATTTTATTTTTTTTTTCCTCCCCTTCCCTCCTTTCTTTTGAGTTTATTTTCAGAACTTTTTAGTTTCGTTTCAAAGCTCTTTCTTTTTTTTTTTTTTTTTTTTTTTTATTTGGTGCATCATTTTCTT